TTTCGCATGCCCCATTCACGCTCAACGGAACAAATATCTCCGAATGCTCCAGTTATATCTATCCAGGTCGAGAAATCAATATGATGAACGACCAAGTTCCAGAGTTGAACAGAAGAAAACGAGCGGCTTGCGGAGCTTTCAAGAGCATAGAGGATGTAGTGAAAAGAACAAAGAACACCCGACTCCGTGCCTACCCTTTCGACTCAACGGTACTTCCTGCCCTAATGTATGCGTCAGAAACCTGGTCGGTGCGTAAGCAGGATGAAAGGTAACTCAGCGTTATCGAACGCGCGGTCGAAAGGACGATGCTAGGAGCATCCCGTTCCACGCAAGTAAGGGATGGTATCCGAAGCTCCGATCTGCGTCAACGATCAAAAATCAAAGATGCCGTTCTGCACGCTAAACAGTCGAAGATAAGGCGGGCCGGACACGTAATGCGTATGAATGACAACCGATGGACAAGAGCCGTTAGTGACTGGATTCCTCGGGATGTCAAACGTACTGCTGGAAGACCACCGACCCGATGGTCAGAGTTGTTCACAAAGAGCCTTGAAGAAAGATATGATGCTCGACGAGTCCTTAAAGCGAGCAGAACCCACTGGGCTACTCTTGCACGCGACAGGAAAAAATGAGAGATTTACTGGTGGCCACTCAAGTCACTCGACGATCAACGGGACACCACAGGTGATACAGGTGATATATATATATATATACATATATATATATATACCTCCTAACGGTTTACCGCCTCATCGTGGCTGGGAGGTGTTCCTGAGTGTCGGGCCTCGATGTACAGCGTGGTGGGTGGGAGGGATTCAACTCCGCAGCAAGGCTCTCAGGCTGGAAAGAAGTCCAGTGTTTCAATCAGGAAGCTGTGGTAGGAGTAAACCAATACCGGATCCACCATCATCTTAAAATCCATTAAAAAATTTCAGTCAGTTTTACAACAATTGATCAAAACGGGTAAATAAAATTGTTCCAGTTCTAGCTTATCAAAAGCTTTAACTTTGATCGACTTCGGGAGGCGTGTGTAAGGTATATCTGAGGATAAGCTCGTACCTCATTACTACAGTTTTGTTCACGTTTCTCTCTTTGACAAAGCTATTTACCCCTTATTTTGAATTTGTATGCAGTAACTTCGCATGCGTGGGGACAGATGGCACAGTGGTAGTGATGTCCATTATCAAGAGCATGGTTTTGGTTCGATACCGCTCTGGGCCCACCAAGACTCTCATCCCTCCGAGATAGGAGAATTGGTTTCGGACTTGTCTTGGAAAAATCGCTCTCTGCAATCCAATGGGAAAGCTCCATCTCCGGCTATCTCAGGACTCCAGGGAGAATTGCTCGACCAACGTTCTACGACATTCAAGATTAAATGAAAGCCCTCAAGCAGCAACCGAAGCCACACATAAACTTGGAAGATCTTCGTGGAGAATGAGTGCGAGGAGACGAATCGAATGTGAGAGAAGTGCTGGGATCCGTAACGTGGACGTGAAGACGGAACATATAAAATAAAACAAAATAAAGTAAAATGAAATAAAATGAATAAAAGACAAATTTCACATATTATATTGACCAGAGCATTCCTTCTACTTGAATCATCTGTCATTCACTACAAATTTCGGATTCTTGTGCAGGTTCTATATCAACTTGATGACTTTGTATTCTTTACGCACTTGAATTCTAGCAGAAATGATTCTCCTTAAAATGCTGATTAGCCCTAATATAGTTGACAGGTCTTCACTATAAGCAGTAAAAGACCACTGTGAACGGTGAAAGATTTCTTCTAACAATTTCACTACCAAACTGCACTCACGGAAATATGCGAAGATCGAATTGTGCACTAGGCCGCTACGTTTTTAGAGTTTTAGTATATATCGATACCTATAGTGTGATAACTGGAGTATTGATTCAGGCCATAGTAATGAGGCCTATGCACGATCATTCCGATGAAGGAAAGCATATCTATACGAATAATTAGTAAAACAGTTACCTGATCACAACGTTGCTGAGATATTTGCAAAACTCTGGACCGCAGGTGTCTATGGTGGGGAACGAACGCGCTATTGCCCTTTCCGGGGAGTAACGCGTTCACCACCACACCATGCGGGTCCTTCGTTTCGCCTGTCTCTCAGCTATTTCTATCGATCTTTTTGCCACAGCAATCACCCGTCAGCGGGGTTGATCTGGGGAGCGCAAATCGGCATAGAACAGCTGAATAGGCTGCACAAATGCTACGAGACCACTATTTAATGACGGCATTGTCGTGAATAAGAATCCCACATTTCGTAAAGGTGCTCGTTCTGAGTAATGAACTTCATTTATGCAAGGATTGTAAAGTTTATGCAAAAATGTCGATTGTAAGTAATTTGTATGTAAAGTGTTAATTTCATCTAGGTTACATGGATTCTATGTATGTGTGATATAACGTTTGAATTGTGGATTGCAAACGAAATGTTCTTAAGCACAACGTATAAAATATCAGTGAAAGGTTATGTCGATAGATTTTGACAACTGTTTTTAATACAAAATTCCAGTTCCACAGAAAATTCCAGAAAAGCCCATGAAAAAGGAAACACATCATGTCAGCGTAGTTCGTGCGCCCTGTTCTGCTTCGTGTATTGCATGCAACGAAAACAAGGCGTCATGTGCTAACTTGTGAGGGCACGGGTTTCGCGGAAACTGACTCTTCGATACCTAAAGCATTTAAGAGTCAGAATTTAGCATACTTATGGAAGAGAGTTTCTCGTATCACTTAAGAGTACGTATGGTCATCCAGAAATGTTATTTCAGTTTTATGGTTCTTTAACGTTTTAACTGTCAAAAACTCAAAACATTTTGAAAATTCCAGAACCTCTCATGACCACGATGTCGTGTAGTACTGAACGAAATCCAGCCTGTTTAATGATTTCATTGTTTGAAATGCGGACTTCGACCAAAGAAATCAGAAGAAAAAACTACCTATAGGATGCAGAAAATCAGAATTTGGTGGATAAAAGGATAAAGGATAAAGCTCTTGGCTTTCATCAATCCCTGAGGGATGCGCTATGCATTCGACTTCATTAAGCATCGTTTGGAGGTGATTGAATGCATATCTGGGCTTTACAATAACTCGAGGTGGCCTACGACCCAGTGCTGCTACCCTCCCAGACAAGTCTGGTACCAATTTGCCAACCCCGGAGGGATGGAGGTCTTGGTGAGCCATGGGCGCAGAGATCGATTTACGTGCGTTTCGTAGGGCGCCTCCGACCGCTGCGCCACGCGCGTCCTTCCGCTCCAGGACTGACTGCAAAATTTTCCGATTTCGATTGATAGGTCTGTTATAGACAGAGATATTCCTCTTAATAGCTGAAAAGCTAATGGGCAATTATGCACCAAAATTGATACGTAACTTGCCAAAACTGTTAAAGAAGTACTAGTGGAGAGTTCATGTCCTTCCAGTTCAGGAAAGTAGAGGCTGAAGCGAAGTGAATTCTTAGTCTGTTGATCTGAGACCACACTTTGAGAAACCGTTTACAGAAAGTGAAGGCAGCCAGAAATTTCTTCAATAGACGCTGTTCAAAACACCCTACGACAAACCATTTGTAGAACTCTTTACTAGAAATTGATGAAAATGGGCAAGAACTTGCTTCGTTAATTGAAGATTCATGTATTCTTGAAAACACGAGACTAGAAAATTCATGACAATAGGATTCTTGGGACGAATTTAGAAAGAGAGCATTCTTAACTGAGGATGTAACGCTAATGCTCACTAATGTGCTTCCTTTCACGTGCTAAACAGACACCTTTAGCTCGCAGGGTTCGTCGCCGAAAGGTCTGCACAGACGGCACGGACTTAAGAACGAGCAAATAAATATCCATCGAAAGAATCAAATTTGCGCGTTTCTTGCTGGGTTGACAAGGAATATCTCTGCTCTTTCGTTATTTCCAAGGAAGATCTTGTTAAATTTCAGACTTTTTAGTGCATATAATGGCCACTGTGTCCCCTAAAAAACGATGATTCTCTCGCAATTTTCTGTTACTAGTCATACCAAATATATTAAAGGTGCGCGCGTAGCGCAGTGATCGGACGATCCTGCAATACACAATTGACCCGCGCCTCCCGAGCCGTCCATCTCTCTGGGGTTGACAAATTGGTGCCAAACTTGTCTGGGAAGATAGCAGCACTGGCTCGATACATAACTAGGCCACTGCGAGTCATTGTAAAGGCAACATATGCATTCAATCACCCCCAACGATGCTCGATGAAGCCAAATGTATTGTGTATGCTTAAGGAACTGCTCAACACCGAGAACTTCATCCTTCTCCTCATCAAATATCTTGAAAACCCATATCTTGCCAATCTTGCTCCACTCTCACTAAGCCAGTTCCTCTTCCTCGTTTAGTTTTTTTAATTATTGCTCGCACTACTCTGTTCATAATTTAGTACTAACTTACTTGCCATAACAGCGAGTAAAACTCTCACGCTAACAAGCCTTCCTAGTTGAGCTTTGAATAAACGAGCAACAAATGGATCCAATTGAACACGTTTATAAGACTAACAGAACTGTTGAGTTTTCACCAACAAGACTGATCACATTGAGAGCCCCCAGTAGACCCATTGTTTTACTCCTACGCAGACCAAAATCCTCACATTTCTCCGCAATAAATTATGATGTTACTTCAACGTAAGCTTAGCTCTTTACGGATAATCGAAGCAGCATTGCAAGAAAGACGATTCATAACTACTTGTTAGAAAGGCACGACTACGAATACCTTCATCCACTTCACCCCGATCCCAATTTATTGATATTACTATAGGCTGAATCACGATGATATACGAAAGGTCTGGAGTTTGCCTTCGTCTACTTGTTCCTATAACCAACAGTTATAAAATATTTGTTTAACAAAAATATCCCTACTCAACTGGAATTGAAAGGAAATCTACTCATATTTATTTGTACATGGTTGACACAGTGAATCCTACTTCAAGAATAAAGAACACAAAAGTGATTGTTCTTCTAGCGGTATGTTCCATATTTCTTGCCGTGGTTACCCCAGTACTCTGGATCCGGTTCAGAATCCGGAGGGATTCCGAGCTCTTCATCAGTGAATTCGTGCAGATACGGCATGTACCAATGTCCCTATAATTTTGTGTTAGTTACTGTATTAGTTTCACTTGATCAGCCAAAGATAATTTTCAACCAAGACTATTAAACGCAGTAAAATTCACAAATATGTGACCGGGGTGGTAATACATGTGATACGTAAACCAAAACCACAGTAATGCTGATATAAAATATGTCACACATCGATCGATGTACGTGGTCCCCATGGTAGGCGTGCGGTAGAAATAGCTGAAAAAAAAATACTGAGCTCTCACTAATAAGAATCTGACAACTTATAGAACACACTCAGTGATTCAGGGTTCTATAACTTCTTACTCACTCAGGAATAATTTTATCTCCTTTTGATGGTGTTCCTTTATAAACTCCATCGTAGGTATGAAGCTCTGGGTTTTCCGGTGCGCCAGCCTTGAAGCCGACGGGAACTTGTGGCCCGATAGCATCTTCACCCCAAACAAAGCGATGCCTGGAAATGGTGTTTGTGTCCTTAATACAAAACACCCAATAAGAAGATCAACTGATCAAAATAAAGGACAACAGCGTAATGGCATTGTGCGATTTGATTTAAGATTATTGTTAACAAACGAAATAAAGTCTACAAACCAATCCTACTACAACTTTACCTTAATGGTCCAAGGCTTCCCGATCCTCCAATTTGAGCTCGAAACCGTAGTTTATGGAGAGCAGCTGCCAAAGCGACGTTTCGGTTTAGCATTCGCACTGATGGAAAACTCGATTTATGTTTTTAAATAATGAAATGGAGAAGCATAAAAAAACAAAGTACTAATTATGGCAACATTGAACCATATAATACACGATCAAATAAAGAACGGCCAAAGATTTTAATAAGTACTATTACAATTTTCGTACACGAATTGGAACAATGCGCAACAACAGTTCATATCTCTTAGTTCATAAGAAAAATCTTCGTCGCGATGTTTCCATTTCGTGACGCTGAAATGGAAGTTAATTCAAAATTAGGTTAATACATGCCAATTCAACTATTACCTAGTAAAATTCTGTAAAAGAAAACACTTACTTTCAGAACCCACTCAAACTCCCCCCATTTTGTATCAAACGTCCCTTTTTGAAGCCATTTTAACCTAAGCGTGAACCGTGGGCCAAGCTCCAGCAAAGCTGCCTTTTCACCCTCTTTTTTAAATTCATATCTAAACACTTTTGGTTAGAAAAGAAGAAACTCTGGGACGATTCACACTATACTAACTGCAAACGAACCGATGATGCCGGAAGAAAATGTAGTCTCTCTGATTGTGGAAAGTCACCACACGGCGACCGAGATATTTCGGGTCATATGGGAATAAACAGGCGAACATCCGCGCTATACTGTAAAGCCTCCGTTAAAGACACTGAGAAATAGAGTTTAATATATCCATTGATATTTTGGATTGAGGCAAATAAAATTGACGAAGAATAACATGTCCTCACCTATGCCCTAAACGCGTGTTGAAGTTATTAAGCACAATTTCGGGGTAGTGAGATGTCGATTCACCACAACGCTGAACAAGGAGAGAATTAAAAAACGATTAAATAAACACAGTCACAACTACTCATTCAGGATACTGTCGAAGTTCCAAAAGCAGATATTGATTAGCATGTGTTTGGATGTGACAGAATCAGAACACGAAGAGAATGACACCTTTGACGTAACAAGAAACACTGCAGAAAGAGCAGAAAAGAGCATAGATGACAGCATCAGCCTCATAGAATCTACACATTTCACGTATACCACGTCCATAATGGTCTACCACCTGTTCGTGGATACATGTGTTCATGGGTGTCGAACTACGATGTGTATAGTGGACTCTTTCACCTATCAGAGTCACCCAAGCCGCGGTGTTCGACATTTCCATACGGAAGTCCAGCCACGAGTATATCAATTCAAAGAGATTACCAACATCCAATCAATAACATAGCCATTAACTTGGAATTGACGACAAGAGAACAATAGCAACATAACCTTTGAAACCTTACCACAAGAAGTTTTCTGAAGTCTCCTAGATTGTTGGTAGCTCATAAAGTCAAGCCATTAAAGTGTCTGAGTAAAAGCAAATATGTGTATGTATATATATAACCTCAGTTTTATTTTCTTGACATGACCCGTCTTTATATCCACTATGAGGTTCCCAGCACTTTTTACCTTTGAATCGTTTTCCACGCATTCATCGTCCACAATGGTCCTCAAACACCTTAAGTGTTGTTTCAGCTGCTGCTTGAGGAGTTCGTCTTCTTTATGAATGTCGTAAAGTGCAGATCGAGTCAATTCTCCTTGCAATGTTTGATCTTTTATTTTCTGCCTACTATAATTTTCACGGTAAGGTACTAAGCGAAATACAACCACAACGTTGCTCAGATATTTGCAAAACTCTGGACCGCAGGTGTCTATGGTGAGAAACGAACGCACTATTGTCCTTTCTGGAGAGTAAGGCGTTCACCACCACACCATGCGGGTCGTTCGTTCCATCTGTCTCTAAGCCAGTTCTGTCGATCAGCGCCATCAGTAATCGCCCGTCAACGGGATTGAGGAGGGATCGATAGAACTAGCTGAGACAGGCGAAACGAAGGACCTGCATGGTGTGGTGGTGAACGCGTTACTCCCCGGAAATGACAATAACGCGTTCGTCCACCACCATAGACACCTGCGGCCCAGAGTTTTGCAAATATCTCAGCAATGTTGTGGTTGTATCTTCTTGCATTCTTGGAGATAACAGGGCTAAGGAGTTCCCTCGTGGATCCGTGGAGAGCGTTAGCGGAGGTTGATATTTGCTTCCTCATCGACGGCATCACTAACCACTGCGCTATCCCCGCCTCATTATATATATATATATATGTGTATATGTATATATATATAGCATTTCTAGGGCAAAAATTATTCTAAGTGTCTAAAGAATAAAGTCATTATAGAAGAAAAAGCCAATTATTCACCTTACATTCTGTGTTAAACGTTACTTTCCCTATTCTACAGGTGTTTAAAGCTACTTCCCACCCGACCAAATACTTAGGGCACAGTCCGTACGTATTATAAAGTTCGCTTAATAAAGTTTAATATTTGTGCTGTGCGTGAAGTACCTTAGAGTCTGATTATAAAATATACTCGACGAAATGATTCCGCTACTTTTTTGTACTTTCCGCCTGTAATCGTGTTTTCTCCACGTTATTATATGCATGTTTTCATGTTTTTGGAACAAGTCCAACTCTTGTGCGCAAACAAGGGAGTATTGTGCACTGGTTAAGTACGCTGTCAGCACCTGTTCCGTCGTCGGTTATGTAATGACAGGTATGGTTCGGAATATCTAAATATCTTCCATTGCCAATTATTAGAACATCCTTACATCATGGATAGAAAGTATAGCCGTAGGGAAAGCAAGCTTACTAACAAAGTCTTTTTTTAAAACTTTGACTTGTAAGAAATAGTTTCTTTAGGTTGACATAGTAGAAAATCTGAGGTAGGTAAGCTGCCGAATAATAACGAAGTGTAGCACAAAAGTTCCCTTGCGCAAAATAAACGAATGAGTAGAAAACGACTGGAAATAGCGTTCGATTTGCTCCATTAAGCATGAGTGGAAATGAAATCAATTCGACAATTTTCAAAGAAATGTCTAGGATAGAAATTAGTCCTAGAGTGATGTTTAAAATCATGAAAAAAAATACACTGGTGGGCAATAAGTGCAACACTTTGAGTTTACAAAATTCCACTACTCGAAGCAATCATGTAAAAAGAGTGACCTTCACATAAAGTAATGTTGAAATCGAGCCTAGAAGAAGCTTATTCAATAAAGACAATACAACCAACATGAAAAAGACGTTAAAGATGTTGACTTTTTAAATTACCGCCTACTACAATTTTTCAACGAAGGGTATTATGTGAAACGTAACCATAATGATGCTGAGATATTTGCAAAACTTCAGACAGCGGGTGCCTGCGGTGGGAAACAAATGCGCTATTACCCTTTCCGGGGGCTAGCGTTTCACCACCACACCATCCGAATCTTTCGTTTCGCTTTTCTCTTTACCAGTTTTCTATCTATTTGTGTGATTAGCAATCACCCATCAACAAGATTGGTTTGGGAAGCACAGATCGGCAGTGAACACAACTAAGCTGAGGCTGTAGTCGATTTGGGCTACCTAGATCAATCCCATTAATGGGTGGTTGCTGATGGCAATGATAGATAGAAAACCACCCGACAGAAAGACGAAATGAAGGACCTCTTTGGCGTAGCGGTGTACACCTTAGTCCCAGTAAAGAGTAAGAGTGTTCCATCCCCAATGTAGACAGCTGCAGTCCAGAGTTTTGAAAATATTTCAGCATCATTGTGATTGTACATTGTGTTTTTATAAATTTAAAAATACGCCGTTTAGAGAGAAGCTTATTCTCAATTTACTTCGGATATCGTTAACAAATAAAGGACGATTTGAATTCGTTTTTGAAGCAATGCGCAGAATATCTGGTACTTGCACGACCCACCTTCGCAAAGAATAGTATGGATCCAGATTAATTCCATTGCAACTGATGTACTGTAGGATCGCAAACAACAATCACTTCAGTTCTAGAAATACCGTCTTAGGGTGTTCTATAATCGCTACCACCGCTAATAGTACTCTACAAAGTGGACCGTTGACGGCTTGCGACTTTCGACTATGTTACTTCCAGGATAGTTGCAATGCCAAACACTGATCTACTCGTAGTTAGACAGCGAAACCGTCAAATTAGGTATTCCTGCCATGGAACGAACTAGCTGAGGTACATCGCTGTTCGACCCTAAACTTACCATAGTAACGATGAAAGGCTAGTCAATGAGTAGTTAATAAGGAGTGGGAATAGAATGAGCGCAATTATGCGACAAGTAAACATATAAAGCAAAAAATATTGATATCGTTTGTCTACGTTGTAGAACACAGTTGCAGAAATTAAAAGAACTGTGAAAAATATATTAGAGTTACACACCGGAATATCCTTGGAAAACTTCAGGCTATTGATTTTAAAGTAAGCTGTTGGGCCCTCAGGAAGATGACAGAAAATTATTCCATCTGAAGAAAAAATGAATTAGAATAAAGCTCTTAGATCCCACCAGAAAAATGCAGCACTAATACTATTTATAAGGTGAAGTAGGCAGTCTCAGAAAATACAAAGACAGCAGCTTCTTAATTCTACTTACTTGGTTTCTTATGATCCTCATGTACAACAATTAAATCAGTGTAGGCCTTCGACATCGCTTGTTTAACAACCTTTTTCAGGGGAACGCCTTTGCGTGAAAAGATCTCTGCATTAGGAATACATTTCCGGAGTTCGAAACAAAACTTCCATGTCGTCTAAAAGATACAGCAACAAAGAATGACAAGAAAAGTCTTAGCCTAAAGAATATAAAAAGCAGAATGATTTGCCATCATACCTTCTTTGCAAACGGAGACATCGTTATGAGAATCTTAGGAGAGCTTTCGCGATTAAAGTACTGTGCGAACTCATCATTGTCTTCATCGTGTTTCACCTGGACACGAATACTGTGAAGCAGACTCTCACAACTTAACAATAGAAAAAAATTACCCCATAAGAAGAAAGCTGAACAAGAGTAATCCCACGTTTTCAAAACGTATTAAATATATCATCACTCCGAAAGAAACAAACCTCTTCGTCGTCTTCTTGTACCATTGTTACATCATATTCCCTTGTGCTCTCAATCGTTTTTGGCTCCTCCTTAGGAGGTGCATTGTCACCGAGTGCCTCTCTTATCTTTTCACGCTCAGCTTGACGAGCACGCTTGTTCTTCAAAGATTTCATAGCAAAAAGTAAGGAAATCAGAGATATACTTTAACCAACCTTTTTGAGAGTCCTCCTCAAAGCAGTTCCACGTTCCGATTTGGGTAGTGTCTTGAAATCATCTTTCCTCACAGTTGCACTTCTTTTAACCTAGAAATCTTACGGAGTTCCTGGCAAATTCTCTATAAGAAAACAAGCTACCCGGATTTTCGAAAATGCAACGCGTGAAGTGAAAGATCGACATACACTCTAGCATTTACCGTTATGTTATGTGCTAAGCTATTTCCAACCTTACACAAAACATATCGACTTGCAGAGGGGTGGAGTATCGTAGTGGTAGTGACGCCGATCCCCACGAATACGATACTGCTTCGACCCCGCCCCAGGCCAACCAAACTCTTAATCACTCCGATCTCGGCAAGATGGTACCAGATTCGTCCGCAAAAGGTTCGCTATCTGCAAACCAAGTGGGAACGGCCCAGTCCTGCTACCTCCAAGACTGCAAGGAGAGTCGACTTGACTAGCAATCTACGACATTCATAAAGAATACGAAATCCTGAATCAATAGCAGCCGAAACAACGCGCGATATAATCGAAGACCTATGTGAACGATCAATGCGAGGAAAACGAATAGAATTCAAGAAGTGCAGGGAACCGCACGGTACATGTGAGAAAACGGGTCGTGCAAAGAAAAATATCCAGTTGCTCTTTCCCATGTGGTGATAGAGTGTTGCATACAAAGCAACATTACCCCAGAACACTTACAAATGGAACACGAACTTGGGAATGATTTCACAGTGCACACAAAAAGACACAACCGGGCCAAACAACTTACACAGGGATGTCATTTGAAAACAGAATAAAACAAAGAAAACAGGAGAAAAATGCCTGCCACATACTTCTTCATATCGTTTCAATAACGTTGCCGTGTCCACGGCGTTATTGCTACCTTCCTTTCTCAACATAGAATTGCTCACTTTTAAAATGGTACGCCAAATGCTGATCTAAAAACCCAAAACAGAACACAAAAACCTACAGAACTTAGTTGCAATCGCAATATTAAAAAACTATGCAAACAAATTCAAGAAGTCCTTTAGGGCGGGGCTAGCGATCCAAATATGAAAAAAGCACGAAGGAATTCAAAAAAGTTTTTAACAACAGAAAATTGCCTAAAACAATTAAAACAATAAATAAAAAGCTACGTCGAATATACAAGCACTTCGTCAGAGTACTGACAAAGTAAAGTCAACATAAACTGATTAAATTGATCAAATAAAATCAACAGTACTGGACATAAATTTTTTTTCTAACGATCAGCAGCTGAAATCGTCAACGTCTTGGTGAAATAGGAAAATACCACCTCATATTTTTCCACAAATCGGAAGGGTGAGCCAGCCAGCATCTGAACAGTGTTATTCAGTGGATTAACTGCCGTCTTTTTCTTTTTTAAGAGTCAAAATTTAAAAAATTGGGTAACTTTACTTGGTACAAAAGGACCTCGCATACCAACACCATCTGTCTTAACTCCATTCCACTATTGTGAACCTTCAGAGAAAATCCCACCTATTAAGGTAGCATTCTGGAATAAATCAATCAATTAATACAACAAATGTACGGAAAAGAAGAGAAAAGAAGAAGGAAGAAGCAGATGATGATTTGAAAAAGACAAGAACTATTTACACACACGCAGTACATGTAAGCAAGCGTTAACTTAGCTGAAAAAAAAAGTTTAAATTCTACAAAAGAAAAACTGCTTTAAAGTTAACTTAGCCAAGAAACAAGGCTCACCGTTACACTGCTCTTCCTTAATAAGCTTTCCAAGGTTTGCACACAAGTTCTCATTGACGTCCCAAACATCACAGTTCAGAGTAAGAAATCTTTGCTCGTCAGTGCTTGATATAAAGCGTGGGAAATCAAACGGATTTCGCCAATCCACATGAACTGTAATCGTCTCGTCCACAGCAGCCTAATTGAGTACAAACAGAAATATAAACATTCACTAACATAAATATACATATAATATAATATGATAGATTCAATACACGCTTATAGTTGTTTAAATCCTCTCAACGGTTTACCTCCTCATCGTGGATGGGAGGTGTTTCTGGATGTTGGGCGGCGATGTACACAGGAGAGATTCATCCCCAACAGGGCCTCCCAAGCCAAGAAAGAGGCCGGCGTTTTCATCAGGAAGGCTAACTCAAATAGAGTAAACCAATACAAATACCAAGATCCACCACTGTCCTGATATGGAACTAGTCGCATAGTGGCAAATCTTCCTCTGTCCCACAAAAGCGGCAACTACCTGTGGTGGTGTCGATCTGGGGTAGGCTTTGGCCAGGCTGACCTCGGGACTCCAGGTAACCACAATGGCTAAAACACCAAAACTCCGGAAAAACGGAAATTATACCGGGGTCTGCACAATTGGTGAATACGAGTCATTCAAGTATCAAAGTAAGTAATTGTTTAAACCGTAGTGTTTGAAGTAGCTCACCTTTGGACGAAGCTCCACAACGAAACACTCCGTATCTTCATCATGGAGTGAATATCCTAACAGAGTGATAAAACCGTTCTCTATCAACTTTATTTCTGAGATTGCCACATCAATCGCCTCGCAATAGTCGTGATAGCACTTCACAATATCGCTAAGAGTAGGAACCTGCAAACAACGAGAACCTGTGTTAAAACACTAAGTTGAAGGATAGAAAGCATACCTGTGCACTAGTTTTCTCGTTTGAGTACCAATCAAAGTAGAAACCCTGTTGATAAGCACACTTAACACTTGGAGGTTGAGACGGAAACGCAGATCCCGGCATTAACACAATCCAGTACTCCTCACATCTATGATGGTAATACACTGAATCAACTTTTACATAAGTAGAGGGAAAATAGAAGCCAACCTCAACTTGAACTCAACTATCGGTTCGTATGGATCAGATAAGTTCAGTCCTTCTTTAGGTAAAGAAGCCACCTGTTTGAACCACAACCATTCACAATCTTGGATACCACCAGATATACAATTCTTTACATCGGCTTCATCAATATCGTCTAGAAAAAAGCGCCACACTTCACTGGACAACGGCAAGCCAAGAGTCATGACTCAAACACAATGGCTCTAAATTTAAATTATCTTGTCTTTTTCCACAACCACAATCTAAATAGGAACAGTTCTGAGCAAAATAAACACCTATTGGTACAACCAACTACAGCAATAATAAAAAATGGAAAATCATATATTTAACAACTTTAGAATAACAACTTAGCAACAATAACTGAGAAGAACAAGAACAAATTTAGATATAAACAACAGCGCTCATGACTAGCGGGAAATTATAGGATAGATCAAGTGTAGCGCCATCATGAAGAAAGGAAAATAAAAACAAGCTGATTATCTACAGAACATTCTTGTTGAGATTACTGAACCCTATACCCATTGCCGTCACAATAGCTTTATTTTCACTTCCAAGTCGCATCACTTGTTCATCTTCGTCTGAGTCCTTACCCTTTTGTATATTACGCCATTCTTCTAGTTTAAACTGTATCTCAAAATAAGTCTTTAGATGACGCAGAGCATAAACACTGAAAAGCAAAACCTCAAAACTCGACCAATACTTTAAAACTATAAAAGAAAAATATACCTGTACACTGTAAGAGGTCCAAACAGGAATCTTGATACGTCTTTTTGTCCAAGAGCCATAAAAGAACATGCTAAAACCTGGGCAGAAGCATCAAGACACCCACCCTAAAACGCAAGAATAATGGAGTCTATAATAGGAGGAAAACATTGCTATCAATAAAGCTGATGTGATACTTAACACTATTCCTGCCTTGTAAAACGGTTAGATAGAATTTAAAAAACCACTCTGTAAATTTCTTCAAGTAGGGCAGTAGCAGCATTTGTGCCCACATCTTCTGCTACTACAGGATCGCCAGTTTCGCCTTTTGGTTTCGAAATTGCTTCTCCGTGATATACGACACCTTCAGTGGTCTCTGCCGTAAGAAATAGACCATATCCAGGAGAGCTAAAAATTATGCAGACTAAGAACACGACAATGTCAAAGATCATAGAAGAGGTTCAATCAATCGAACGTCTGATGTCAATACATCGGCGGAGTTGTTTACTATTCAGCCTACAAAAAATAATTGCATGGTAAGACTTTTAACAGTCCTACAACAATGTCTTAAATTTTACTCACTTCCTATTCACTTCTCATAGCAGGGTACGGTATGAAATACAATGACAAGGATGCTAACACATGAACAAAATTTGCAACCTCAGTTGCGCTTTAAACCCGCAATTACCTTTCCGGGAGGCTCAAGTGTTACCCACTGTACCAACCGAGGCTCATCCTATCAGCCAGTTTTTTTTACCTTTGTGCTGCTATCAGTGATCAGCTGTCAGCGGAAAGGGTAATCATGGGTTCGAAGTGCAAATGAGGCTCCAAAATTTTCCTTTCTCTCATCATCTTTGTGGCTGAATTTCACATCGGATTCTTAAAAGAGCTTGACCATTCATAGATAGATTAATTAGGTATAAACTAAAATAGAAAAATAACTGAGAGACAAGCGGAATGAAAGCCTGCATGGTGCGCTAATGAACGAATTAACCCCCGGAAAGGGTAATAGCGCGTTCGTTCCCCAGCGCAGACACCTCTGCACCGGAGTTTTGTAAATATCTCAGCACCATTGTGGTTTTAATGGACGTATACTTACTTTCCACCGACATCCCCTTTCCGTTGATCAACTGTGATATAAACATCAGAAATGTAACCATGAAGCATCTTCTTCGCAGCGTCTATCATTCTATAGGCAAGTGATGGAGTCACCTTCGTCACATAAGCTTGCCCACGAATTTTAGAAATTTTTCCTTGTTTTTCTCTCTAAAAATTCAACCTAAGAATAGTAAAAAAGACCAGTATTGAGCGTTGAAAAACAATACATCCATTAGTCCATACTTGAACTGGTCGAAGAGTCCTCACAACGGGGGCAGAAAATGTTACGCATCCACCTCCTGCTGGTTTTAAACCGCGAGCATTAATCTAAATTGAAAAACAAAAAAAGGATTGAAGAACAGGAAAATCCATTCCTCAAAAACATTTCTTCATAGAAAAATCACCTGTAGTTGAAGCTTTTCTTCGTTCAGCACAAATTTGTTATAAACAGACAACCAAGTGGCTTTGATGGCGTCAACAGAGACTTCACCAGGGGCATTTGTAACTCCTACAAATTGCAGGTACATATCTTGATACTGATGAAGTAAAAAAGAAAGACTCATTACATCCACATACGAAAATGAGCGCTAACCTTTCAACTTCAAAGTCATTGCATTTTTACAAAACGGAGAAATAATTATCATTGGCTCTAAGTAGTAAGATAGACACCGATCAACTCCACAATCCATATTTTGGACTCCACCAGTTATCAGACCAGGACGGAAACGAACTTGTGTGCCTGGAAGAATGCTGGTGTATTGCTCTCCACAACTCCGCATGTATCAAAACTGTCAGAAAAATTGTTGACAAAGATGTGTTAAGCCCAACGTTTAAAAACTGCGAAGGTTATATCATTAATCTTCAAAGTTGTTAGGGCAAAATTTCCATGATATAAATATGTACTCACTTACGTGGATACTTGGATGGCCCGTCTTCTCTGGTTGTGTGGGCCTCAGCATAATTTCCAATTTTTCGGAGTTCTGCTGGTTTAGCAATTATGGTTCCCAGAAGTCCCGAGGTCTGCCTGGCCAAAGTTTTCCCTACGTCGTCACGAGCATAAGCAGTCGTCACCCTTGTGGATCAGGGGGAGATTTGTCACCACGAGATTAGTTTGATACCAGGACGGTGGCGGATCCTGGTACCGGTTTATTCTAAGGTGGTTTCCTGATGGAAATGCCATACTCCTTCTCAGCCTGGGAGACCCTGCTGGGGGATGAATCTCACTGCTGTACATCGCAGCCACACCCAGAAACACCACTCTACCACGATGAGGCGGTAAACCGCTGAGAGGATATATATGTATATATATATATATATACATATATATCCTATATATACATATATATATATATATATAAGCTTGAACATTAAATGTGAAAAAGGCCGTGAAATAACTACGTTTGAGGATGCTCTACATGCTAGTATCACGACCAACAAACATCGGATAGGTTTTCTTGAAAAGCCAGAAATGTAAAGAACCAGGCACAAGCTGGACCAGTGCGGAGGTTTGTTCATCAATGGAGTCTTATTCTACTGTGTCACATATCATGGCAAACGTGAAAAACATAGCAGCAATATTCTGATGGACTCACCAGTTGAATTAATTTCCACTCTCGTCCCATTCGTTATTCTCTCCAGCAATGCGATGAGTTTAGCTTCAAAATCTGGGGAAAAAGACTTATATTAGGCCTGTATTGCAATCTTAATAAGGCAGAATAAAGAACTGGAACAAAGTGGCGGCAAAATCGTTTGTTAACACTTTCCTACCTAGCTGATATCTGTAATCATTAAAGGATTAAAAAAAGTATAAAACTGTCGGCGTTGATCAATCCGTGAGGGATGCACCATGTATTCGACTTCACTAATCATCGTTGGCGGTGAATAAACAGATCTCTAGTCTTTACAATGACTCGCGATAGCCCAACGATGTATCGAGCCAGTGCTGCTGTCCGCCCAGACAAGTCTGGTACCAATTTGCCGACGTCGGAAGGATGGAAGGCTTGACGAGCCTGGGGTGCGGGAACCGATATGTGTATTACATGGCGCCTCCAACCACTGCGCTACACGCGCCGTTTACAATCACAATGCACAGAAAATAAATTTAAAACAAATGTACTAGTATAGTGATCACCTTTGATTCCAGGTGCACTGTCATCACAGCGAATGTTACGAATCACAACAGGACGACCACTAAGGACTGAATAGGTTAGCCTTTGTCGAAAGAAATTACAGCCTTCGAATACCAGCTCTTCGGTGGTCATATCCTACATGATATCATTCAATGAACGGAAATATTACTTATTTAAGTAGTAAGTAAACGAGTGACATTCACAAAACGACACTCATAACTGAAAAGGAGATTCCAGTCACTTCAAAAACCTCAAAAGAAAGAGGGGACAAGCGGCAAAGACCAGTAGATTTCGTAAGGAAATCCCTTGTACTTTCCTAAACCACAAAAAACTCCATACGCTCCTAAAGGAAAGAAATGTTGTATAGAAGAAGACTTTTTTATTGCCAAAGTATGAGTGTTCAATCGGCACTACCTTTATCTAGGAGACCTGTGACTAGACGTACGACTTAATAACATCGATGTCGTTCATACACCAGAAAACAAACTTTGAGACGAAAATATCCTTCAACAAACCATACGACAAACAAGCAAGCCGGTAACAATCTTATATGAAACACCCTGTCGACAAAAAGTACCTGCGCTTCAAACCGATCGCTATGGAACCGGAGCGAAAATATGCCTCAGGGAAAAACCACTGCGGATGGTGCACACCATTCTACGGTGAACATTTTCCAATCGCTTTGCTCCAATGTGTACCTTTACAAATGCTACATCATTTAGAAGGTCTTATCAAGGGGTCACTATGTAGGTCACTGATTACATTGTTTCCAACATTGTAGCCTCTAACTTATTCGCGTATGCATCGATTTCAATGCATACGTAATCGGCAACGTCTCTTTTCCCTTTGAAGAAAAATATTCCAATTCGCAGTGAACTGTGCTAATTGTAATAGAAACTAGTAGAATCTATGCATCTTCGACAAAAACATGCAAAGTTACCTATTTTGCCACGATAAAGCTAAAATCTCTGAAGCTCTCGGCATTGATAAATCCCTTAGGTATGCATCTTGCATTCGACTTCATTAAGCATCGTTTGGAAGTGGTTGAATGCATATCTGGCCTTTACAATGACTCGCGATGGCCTATCGATGTATCAAGCCAGTGCTCATATCCTCCCAGAGAAGGCTAGTACTACTTTGCCGACCACGGAGGGATGGAAGGATTGGTGAGCCTGGGATGCCGAGGTCGATCCCATGTGTATTGCAGAGCTCCGACCACTGCGCTGCACTCGCCTTTATAATACATATATATATATATATATATATATATATATGTATATATATATATACATATTCGAAAGCTGTGACACACATTATTTTGAGAAATAAATCGCATAGTGGGTGAGTTTTGAATTCCGCAATGCCTTTGCCTACCACGTCTGTTGAATTTTTCATTATTGCCATAAACCAAGAGTATAGATGAGTGCGGTCTACCTAATATTTCTTAGTTATTTTATGACCTACCATTGTGAGCAGCACACGAGGCCAACAACAATAGTAGTCTACGGTGGGGAACGGACGCGCTATTGTCCTTTCCGGGAGGTAACGCGTTCACCACCACACCATGCGGGTCCTTCGTTTCGCCTATCTCTCAGCTAGTTCTATCAATCATTTGCCATCAGCAGTCACCCATCAGCGGGATTGATCTGGGGGGCCCAAATCG